TGCCCGCAAAGGTTACCCAACCGATATCATATTTACAGACTTTGCTATAGCTTTCGGCAAAAGTTTTGTACCGTCGTTTGCTGCACCAACTGAAATCATATGGAGTATCCGACAACTTGCACGAATGGATCAAAAGCTGGCTAACCGACCGGTAAATATAACTATAAATAAATATAAATATAAAATATAACATAAAACTCAAAGTCGATATCAACAAAGCAGTGAAGTGGTTGCATACATGGCTTATGTCATTTATTGTTGACAAGCGTAAAGTTATGCGCAGCAACAAAAAAAATTCGACTGCAATTTATACAATGATTAACCTGGACGGCCAACTGTACCAGCTATCATGCACGTCATCTGAACGAGAACTAAGCGTTTTTATGACGAGCGATCTAAAAGTTAAAAAACAAATCTGTCCGGCTGCATCAGCTGGCAACCGAATGTTTGGCAGGCTCAAGAAGGTTTTTCGAGGTCAAAGTTCTGCATTATGGAGCACACTGTTTATTTCGTACGTTCGCCCACACCTAAAATTTGCAGTCACCGTTTTTAGCTCAAGACATTACCAAACTTGAGCAAGTTCAACACCGATCCATAAAACATATTGCATCCATTAAACACCTTTCGTATATTAAAAGACTATCAAGCCTTAACCTGACAACACTAACTGAACGACGAGAAAAAGGAGACCTTATTGAGCAATTTAAAATCATGACCAAAATTGATAAAGTTGAGTTTCACGTCCCTCAACTTCAACCTAACTTTTTGGCCTCGTGGACACACTAAAGAGCTAAGAGCACAACTTGTCCGAATTCTTTAACCCAAAATGCGGTAGACGCAAATAACTTGAACAATTTTAAACACGAACTTTTTTTACTACGGCATCTTCACTTAAGCTGAAATTGAAAAACTCTATTTTCATAACAGAGAGGCCTGGTGTGCCGCTCTTTGTCAAAAAAAAGTTTTGTAAATTTATTTTTGACCATGAATGAATAAACCAAGCCACTTTACATTTTTTTGAAAATGTGACGAATTTTTAGCATTCGCTAAAAACCAAATCTAAAAGCTGCATAACTGAAATTATAAGTTGCGGCACAAACTATATAGGTTATATGAGCAAAAGCGTAGGAACGGACATTAGGTAATCGTTAAAAACATACGTAAATCATTCCTGACCATTCTTACTACTAAATTATAAGCTTTCTAACTGGACTTTTGTCCTCTTTTAAAATTACTTGCTTAATACTTACTTTAATGTAATTTTTTTTGGATTTTTAATGTGATCAAAATTCAAAACTACTGAACAATAAGTGAGTTCTAGAATTTTCAGACCTGCAAAAAAATTAAATCAATACGTTTTGAATCAAAATGTATTCTGTAGGGAATAATTTATATTATATGTATACTTAACTTAGTACTTTTTCATTGCGCAAAATAACAAAATAAATTACAAAATTTTTTGAAAGAAAATTACTGAAGTGATGGATTTAAACCCGCGCTTTCGGACTACGCGACCTCGGAAGTTCAGAAACTAGATACCACTAAGCTACGCTAAGCTATATTAGTTACCACACGCTCACGTTGAGGGATGAAAAATTTCAATTAATTAATTAAACATTTCGGTCGGACAAATATCCTCGGAGGTTATTCGTCCATCTGGTCAGACGAATAGTCACTTTGTTTTTTTTAATGGTTGAAATAGATACTTTTACTTTAGTATAGTCTTTAAAGATACAACTTTATTTAATTTTTTTATTTTTGTGATTGTTTTTTGGGGATTTTTTTTTGTCAGTTTGAGTTTAATTGAGTTATTAAAAAAAGCTTATCTTAAGAAACTGGTGTCCTAAGATGAGACGATTGAGTGTGTTAAAAATAACGCAATATTTGGTATAAAGATTTTAATACTCTTTATTTATATTCTTTAAAAGGAAAGATACAATATTCTGAAAAAATAAATATAACTATTTCAATATTCGGCTACAAAATCCAAAGCACTGTTAACATGCTCAACTTATGTAGCTTTTCTATATACAGAGCCGGCGCGAGGGCCATGCAAATTATGCTGTCGCATAATTTGCATAATTAGAGCTCCTGGTGTATCTAAAGTATTTTTTTTCTTATTTTTTCAAAATCCTATTTTGATTTTAAAAATATAAACTTAAAATACAATTTTTGGCGTCAATAATGTATACAAATACTAAATTGTTTACATATTTGAGGTGCCAAAATTTATATCGTAGACTATTAGGTATTGAAGTTTCGGTAAAGCTAGCTGTTCTCATTTGAAATAAATTATCGAGTGCTAGTTTTTGTTTATATTATTTAACTTTTACAATATAAATTAACGTTGTCTGAATAATTAATGAAAAAGTTTCAAAATGTAAAATATGTTTTTACTTTTTAAAGTAATAGCAATAATAATACAACATGTTTAAGGTTGTTCTAGTTGTAAACCACTATTAGTGAAAAAAACTCGATTTTTGTCGTTTTATATTTCACGTATCTTCTCAGTTTACTACTCAACGTAGTTAAGGAGAGATCCGAAGAAAAATATAGCGTTCAGGCCCTTTCATTTTCAAAAAACGCCGTTTTATTTTGCGTGCGTTTTGATTGGTTTATTTTAATATAAAAATCACAAAGCTCCTTGTTATATTTTGTTTACAAATATTCGGTATTTAAAATCTACGAGCTTAAGATTTTAACTAATTACTTTGGGGCAGCAGTTATGTAAAAGCTAGAACCTTTTCTTTAGGTAATTTATTCAAACGACTATAAAAGGAATATGAAAGTAAATTGCTATGATAGAAAACTAATGAGAAAACTTTGATTTTAACGTTTTTACTGTTTACGGAAAGATAAAATATGAGAATTTTTCTGTGAAAATTCAATAAATCTCTTTAAAAATACTGAACTTAATAGTAGTGCGCTTTCGAGCCTGTTTGACACGATACTCTTGGCAACCATTGCGTCCGAGGTAGTGACGAGAAAGAGTCTCACCTTTGCTTTATAATAAAACGTTTGCAAACGTGAAATTTATATCGTACGTGCCTAGACTTCATGTTATGTAATGTTAAAACATGCTTAAACATATACCAAGTTCTATACTTTGATTTTCACTTAAGAACTGCATTTCGTCAAACTCAGCTTGATTTCTAATCTTTTGCATTTATATCCGTTAAAAACAATTTTTAAATAATTTTGAATCTTTATAAATTGAAGTGTCAGCGTAGTCGAGTGGTTAGCGCGCTGGGCTTCGTAACATAGCTGCCGTGGTTCGAGTCTTACCGTTGGCGACTACTGCTTTAATTTTTTTTCAGATTTTTTTAAATACAAATTCAAATACTTATAAAGTTTTTTAGATATTGTATATAGATTCATGTTGTGTAATGTTAAAACATTACATAAATCTAGGACATTAAAAGTTATCTTTTAGATGTTTTCATTTGATTGAGATTTTCTTGCGTTATAAACCGGATAATAGTTCTTATGAACTGTAAGCACGCGGATAAAGTGTGCATCAATATCCTAAAGACCCGTATTTTACGGGTCACGACAGCTAGTATTTAAATATTTGCACACATCTAGTATGTCTCTATTGGACACACTTTAGTATATATTTATCATACTTTCAACATAAATTCAATTTGGGGGCTGCGTAATCCAAATGTGAAAAAAAAAAAGGCATGAAAAACCAAAATTTATTTATAAAAAATCTTTTTATATAAATTTTTTTGTGTTTGATCTGATTGGCTTTATTTAATGAGTCATTTATTTTTATTTATTTCCAAATTATCGGAAATGTTTATTCCTAAATCCTTTTTTATGCTCGCGTTCACTAAAACTGTGTCGTCAATTTCAAATGTTTTTGGTTATTTCCTAGTAGTCGCAGGTTTCTAGTAATAACCCAGTAAACAAAAAGACGTCTAAAAGACATTTAAAAGATGTCTTTAATCAAGTCTAAAAGGCGCATTCATAGACGTCTAGATCATAAGGCTAAAAGACGTTTTTGTATAGACGTCTTTAAGACATTTTTAAATAACGTCTAAAAGGCGCATTAAGGACGTTTAGATTATGGTGCTAAAAGACGTCTTTGAATTGATGTCTTTAAGACATCTTCTAATAACATCTTGTAGATGTCTTTAAAAAGACGTGTTTAAGTTGCTATTTTCAGACGTCTAGAAGACTTTAGTTGGCAGATGTCATTTTTACATATTTTCAACAGGTGTTAAACATCTTTTTAAAGGTCTTAAAAGACATACTTTCTAAAAGCGTCATTATTTACACAAGATTGCAGTTGTATTTTTGAACGTGTCTATATTAAGGTTTTCAACGCATCGACAATAGAGACCGGTCATTAGACTGAAATGCCTTGACTTCAAATAGATCTCTAGAAGACGACTGGACTTAAGCTTCTGTTCAGATTTAAAAAGTATTTAAGTAAGAATAAGTTATAAAATCAATCGATTGCTTACCCCCCGCTTACTAGATCAAACTTAAAAATAAACACAGTAACACCTGTTTCAAAAAATAATGTTATAGTGTGATTAAAAAAAGTAAAAAAGAAGTAACTAGTAAACAATGGATTTATTGCATATAATATTTTACTATAAACGGTTTTGCGTTTTTTTAGCATTTCGTCCTCCTCCACTTTTTCTACCTGGAGCATTCTTCAATTTAACGCTGACTTTTTGACGAATTTCAGCTTCGCTTACTAGTGGAAAATATATATATATATATATATATATATATATATATATATATATATATATATATATATATATATATATATATATATATATATATATATATAAAATATATATATATATATATATATATATATATATATATATATATATATATATATATATATATATATATATATATATATATATATATATGTATGTATATATATATATATATATATATATATATATATATATATATATATTACAAAACATAAAGTTATTAAGTATTTAAAAATCGAAACAATTGAATCACCCTTCATTACTTTCCATATCAATTTATCTTCAATTCCATATTTGTGACCCGTTCCTTTCATGTTAAGCTTTGATTTCAGCTCAACAGAAAAAAGTCTATCCGTTATTCTTCGAGTTGCATCTTTACCATCAACTCCCCCAACTTGTTTAAGATGCTCAACCTATGATACACGCACAAAAAATAAAGAACTTAAATAATGAACTAAAATCAAAATTAATTGTTATGTAAAAAAACTTGATACAAATTATTGAATGTTGAAAAAAATGGGATTACTTAAGTTTTCGCTAAATAAATGTTCAATATCTTTAAAAAACTCTTATTTAATAAAAGTAACAATAATAATAATAAGGTAAAATCTGTATTATACAATTTTGGCTCGGAATACAGGTAATGCAAGTTTTTCTTCAAACTGTAAAAATTCATCAATATCATGGAGTTGTTTTAAATATGTATATATATATTTATATATACAGGGCCGCCGCGTGGGGAGGGTCACTGGGTACTTTTTACCTGGGCGCAGGATCAGAAGGGGCGAAAAAATGAAAACTTTTTTATTATTTCATTATAAAATAGATACACAGGGCTATAATAAAAAACTCTTTAAACTGGTAACGTAAAAATAAATTGTTAACTCAAACCGTTACGAGAAAATACTTTTAAGGGATGCTAGGTTAAAAAAGAACATATATAATCAAATATATATATATATATATATATATATATATATATATATATATATATATATATATATATATATATATATATATATATATATATATATATGTATATATAGATATAGATCATTTTTGAAGAGTCGTTTTAGACTCTTCAAAAATTATCAATGATGGCGATAACGGCAATTTTCTTGTAACTCTAGAGCTTCTTGCAAAACACAACAAGACCCTTTAGTTACATGAGCAAGAAGTTTCCTTGTGTCAACATGAAGGTAAACAAATTATTGTGTATTTTTTTGTTTGGAGTTCCTAAAATGAATTTATAAAAAAGTGCGAAAGAATCGTCCACGGTGCCATCATTAAAGATGCACATATAGTAATTTACTATTTTATTCTTGTCGACGGAAAGCCTGACGTTTCTTATACTGAGCAAATTGCATTTGGTCTCCGATTTGTCTACAATGGTATTGATAAAAGACAGGTAGTTAATTAGCGCTTTCTTAAGGTCGAAAATCTTAAACAAAAGACATTTGTGGATATTGCCAAGATAATTATGGATTTCTAGGATCAAAACGACATCAATCTGAAAAACTGTTGAGGTCAAGGGTACAACAACGGTGCCAACATGTCTGGTAGGTACAAAGGAGTAAAAGCGATCATCCTTCAGAGAAATCCTGAACCTTTCTACATGCTATGCAGCGCTCATAACATTAACCTAGCTGGTGTTCATTCCCTTGAATCTTCTGTAGAAATGAAGAACTATTGTGGC